ATTTGGATCGCTTGTTGTTCCATTGTCCCTGGGTTTGTTAACCTAAGGATTTTTTTTTACCTACCTCTAGGTCCCAAAGATTTTATTCTCTTTAAAATGTTTACTTTGTTTTACATTTGTCTGTGACCCATTTTAAGTTAACTTGTTATAAATATGGTTTGTGGTTTAGTTTTCTAATCTGTGAGCCACCATTTGTTCCAGAAAATTTTGAGATCCACTACTTTCTTTCCTCTTTTTCCCCCCACTACTTTTTAAATACATCCACAATCTAATTAAAATATTTTTGGTGGGGGTTAGATAAAGCAAGAGTTAATGCACTTCTTCTGTCTCTCTGGGCAGCCCTGGCTTTGGCACTAAGTACAGACAGATCTTGGAGAAACTGTGGTTTGCTTCCAGACCACTGCAATAAAGTGGGTATCTTGATAAAGTGAGTCACACAGAAATTTATGCTTCTAAATGTATATGAAAGTCTATTAAGTGTATAATAATAGCATTATGAAAACATTTGAAATATTGTGAGAATGACCAAAGTATGACACAGACACACAAAATGAGAACATAGCTCTGATGGACTTGATCCATGCAGGATTGCCACAAACCTCAATTTATATGAAAGAAACATAGTATTTACGAAGTACAAGTGAAGTTCGATAAAGCAAGGCATACGCATACTTCTGTCAGTGCTAAGTATGGCGATTTGCATCACTGTATGTGTGAAGTCTGGATCTACTTGGTCACTTGGTCTCAGGAATGTGAGTCTTTTTTATTTTTTAATTCTCTTGTATCGTACAATCAGGTGAATCCCAGACTTTGCTGGCAGCAGCAGTTGAAAGAGAGCGTGCAGCTACAGAAGAACTCCTGGCCAACAAGATTCAAATGTCTTCCTTGGAGTCACGGAATTCTCTCTTAAGGCAAGAAAGTAGTAGATTTCAGGTCCAGCTCGAGGCGGAGAAAAATAAGCTGAGAAAGTTGGAGGATGAAAATAACCGGTGAGCTTGATTTCTGGAGTTTTTCTTGGTAGTCTCCTGTCAGTTTGAAGAACTGAGCGCTAAAAATAAATAGTTTTGCTGTTGAAAGTCAAGGTCATTGTAAGTAGATATAGCATGCTAGTGCAGGATGCATTAAATCACATACTTTTAAATTATTATATATTATTATATATATTTATTATTATTATTATTATTATTGTAACAATCCATACATCAATTGTATCTGGCATGTTTATACATATGGTGCCATCATTTTTTTCTAGACATTTACTTTCTACTGAGCCCTTGGTATCAGCTTCTCTCCACCCACACCCCACCTACGTGACCCCTTGATAAATTCTAAATCATTGCTATTTTCGTATCTTAAATGGACCTCTGTCTCCCTTCCCCCATGGTTTCTGTTGTATGTCCCCCTGGAGGGGTGTGTGTGATTATGTGTCGATCATTGCAATTGGTTCCCCCTTCCTCCCCCTACCCTTCTGGTATCACTATTCCCATTACTGTTCCTGAATTCTGTGTGTCACGTCACATAGACTTTTGAAGTTCTCTTTTGTATGCTTGTGCATTTTTCCAGGACAGTAGTCATAGTTGTAATCTTGAGTTTTTCAAAGGTGCCTGTAACCAGAAAAATGTATGACCATTCAATGAGGGTATTTTTATACTAGAAAAGGGATTTGTTTTAAGCAACATTCCAGCCTATCTAAACAGATGTCTGTCTTTGAAAGTTATAAGCTATAAAATACATCTCTCTGGAATTATAACGAAGCTATGTTTTTTTTGTTTTTTTTTGAAGCTATGTTTTGCTCTTAGCTTTCACTTGGAAATTCTATTTTTAAGAAAAAGCACTCAGATATGTTCATTTATAAAGGATTTATAAAGTACACCATCTGAACTTTTACAGACATTCGCTTAGAACCACTAACACGTTTTTGAGAAGCCCAGGATGGTGGTATTGAGAATTGTTTTTAGAAAGTATGTTTCAAATGAAATTTTAACCCAGAGCACCAGTGAACAAATGGACAGAAAGGGTTTTCATTTATACTTTGATTTCTGAATCAGGTAATCTAGGAATGCAGTTGGCAAATCACTAATGTGGGCTTGGAATGTGTAGTACTGCTAACCATGTAATCGAGGTAAATAAAGTAGTTTTTAATACTCTGTGCAATCACCTTTTTTTTCTTCTTCTGGTTTTACTTAATTCCCTCTTGTGTAATAGGTACCAAGTTGAATTAGAAAACCTAAAAGATGAATATGTCAGAACACTAGAAGACACAAAAAAAGAAAAGGTACGTTTTAAATTATTTGCTCACTTTTTAAGGTTTACATTAGAGAGTAGTTGGGATGATGAGAGACTAATGAGAAGCCAAGAGGAATTGGATGATGTCACTGCTTTTGGAACTTGGTTTGAAATAAACCAAAAATGAGAATATAAGAAAGGGCTTCACAAGGTTTCTGGAAAAATTCCATTATCTTTCATTCCATTTTCAGCAAACATTTTGAAGCTTTCTCATACTTTATGACCCCAATTTTAAGACCGTCTTAATATGATTGAATGAGTGAATACCACAGAAATTGTCTAACTTTATCTTCCTCCATTAGGCACTGCTGATTAGTCAGTTGGAAATGGAGAAAATGAAACTTGAACAAGAAAGGAAGAAAGCAATTTTCACTCAAGAAGCACTGAAAGAAAAGGTGTGGATTTTATTTTTCTTTGTTTCTGGGGTAACCATTTAGTAATGGTTGTGATTAATCAGTGATTGTTATGTAATTTTAGTTATACTTTGTAAATACCATTTTAAAATTCCTAAAATCAGTGTAGTGATGAGTTCTAGTAATATAAGCAGTGTCCTACTCAGAGTAAATCCACCTTTACCTGGTATATCCAAGAGTTCTGTGGATTTTAAGTATATTTCATTTTCAGTATCTCTTGTCCTTTTTAAAATATATTTTGTCATCTCACTAATTCTAATCCACCTCATTTGACCCATCGACAACCTTCAGAGTATAGCTGGTGTGTTCCTTTCCTTTCTGATTAGTGGAAGTAAGTTTTTCTAAAGACAGGTTTATATTTAGCAGATGGGATATACTTAGTGGTTAGTATATTAAAACTGTATAAAACTTAACAGAACCAGGGGAATTTAAAAGAATACAATCTGAATGTAAAATGGAAAAACAATTTTACAGTTTATAATATTTAAAACTTAACAGTAATTTTTATTCCGGAGAAATAAATCAAATTGCGGTGGCATAGTAACTTAGTTTATATAATTGTTTCAACAAAAACATTCTCATCACATTAAAAATGAAAAGCCAAATCATGCTGAAAACCAAATCAAAATGATCCTGAGATTATTGTATCAAGGAGCCCTGGTGGTGTAGTGGTTACTCGTTGGGCTGTGATCTGCTTGGTCAGCAGTTCAAAGCCACCAGCATTTCCGAGGGAGAAAGACTGGGCTTTCTGCCCCTGTAAACAGTTATAGTCTAGGAACCCCACAGCGGGGTGGCTATAAGTCAGCATTGACTCAATGTCAGTTTGGTTTCTTTATTTCTACTTATAAATTATTGAGTGTTGTGCCTTTGATAAAACATCAGAAATCATATTTTTTAACATTTTAGAAGAAATGATAATGAATGTTTTATATTATTGATCCTAGAAATTTTCTTTTTCTAAGATTTCATTTTGCTCTTTAATCTGGATTTTTTTTTTTTTAATTCCTTTAGGAACGCAAGGCATTTTCTGTTTCTAGTACTCCCACAATTTCACGCTCAAGTTCAATAAGTGGAGTTGATATGGCTGGGCTTCAAACATCTTTTCAGTCTCAGGTGATACTTTATTGCTTATATGAGAATTGTTCTAAAATTGAATAATGATAAAGGAATGAATTATGATAGATTGGCCATCACCATAATCTTGCCACTCCACAGGCAATGCAACCGAGTATTTGTGAAGCGTGTTTTTGCAGTGAGGAAATAGAGATGATGTCTGCCTTTGAGAAAGTCATAGATATTTTAAAGCAAGGATTGACAACCCTTTATCCAACTTCATAATGGAACACAATCTGTACTAATGTGTTCTTTCTTTTACTTAACGTAGGATGAGCCTCATGATCACTCATTTGGACCCATGTCGACATCAGCAAATGGCAGCAATCTTTACGATGCTGTAAGGATGGGGGCAGGGTCGAGCGTCATTGAGAATTTGCAGTCTCAGCTAAAGCTGAGGGAAGGAGAAATTACTCATTTGCAGGTATTGGGAAATTTAAATGTACTGTAAGAAGTAAATTAATTTGGGGCCTAATAACACTTCATTTCTACATGTATTCTGAATAGTGTAAGAATTAAGATTATGTGGTGGCATGTAAAGTACAAAATGTATTGTTTATGTTGCTGATTTGGATTAGTTGGATGAAATAAGGACGAGAGACCAGAAAGCTGATAACTGAATCCTTGAATTAAACCAAATTACAGACTCTGTTACCGGGAATTCTGGGCTCTAGCAGGCCAACCCAAGTGTGAAACTTTAGGCCTCAGTGGGACAGAACGCCTCCCTTTTAGACAGCTCTTTCCTAAGAGTAAAACAGGGAACTTGCCGCACTAAGCCTGATCTGTTTTGTTCTTCCCGAGTCTATCACTTGGTAGTTGCACCGATTCCCAGTGAGGAATAAGTAAAAGGGAGAAGAGAGATTCAGACTCTAAAACCCGATACATAGAAGGAAATTACCTGCGTAGGGAAGAAGCACCCCTCATTTCTAGCTTTTAAAGACCTTTAATGCATTCAACAACAAAAAGAAAAATGATCTAACCGCAAAATGAACAAAGGACTTGGATAAATATTTCATCAAAGAAGACATTAAGCTGGCCACCAAGCACATAAAGATGTTCCATGCCGCATGGCATCAAAGGATGCAAATCCAAACAAGAATGCAAATCCCAAAACCATTTTGCAATCACTAACATTGCTAAGATTACTGTGGGGCCTACCCCAATCCCAACTATGAACACCCCCCCACACACACACACCCTGAAGAATGCATCTCAGAGGACAGTACTGAAGCTACAGCTTAGTGAGAAGGGCATGTCTGAGTAGAGCACACAGAAGAAACGGAGAGGGATGGAGAGGGAGGGGAACACATCCTGGCCCACCAAGCCCTGAGGACGATATTCTGCTCAGAGCAGACAATGCATAGAGAGGACCATAGGGCCGGCCCCACCATGAGATACGGTGTCCCTCACTGAACCATGGGAGAACACTGGAGACCGTGCGGGAATTGTGCCCAAATTGACCCCATCACACTGGGGCGAAACACTAAGGGCATGCAACAGACCAGCAAGGGGAGCAAAGTGATGAGATCCCCAGGGAATACCAAAAATAGACTTTGGAGACATTGTGGCACCCCATCAGACTCCACTGGAAAACACTCATAAAGACCAACAAACAGACCTTGAACTATATATAGACTTTTCCATTTTTGTCAGTGGCTTTCAATTTGTTGTTATTTGGGTGTGTTTTTTTTTTG